CCTCTGGCAATTGCACTGTGTCGATTAACTTAGTGAAGATTGTTGCTAGTGGTGCGCACAGTCTCTCCGCTCCCTCTCTCAGTACCCACAACACTTAATTCTCTCACTCTGCTTTATAACATCAACAACCCACTTCTCTTTTCTCCCACCTCCCTCACCCCTTTTCCCACTACTGCTTTCTAGGTATCTAGCTCTCAAAGTATCTTCACCTCTTCCCTAGTTGTATGTACTGTATCCAGCTCTCGCTGGTGCACTCTACTGCTTCGATTTGCGGGTAGCTTTCCTGTCTCCTCTGAGAATACCTCCTAAATTTCCTGGTCATTCCTTGTAAGCTCTCCTTTCTTCAGCCTGATTACCTGGCCCTTGATTGATGTCGTCCTCCTGATGTGGCTATATAATAACTTTGGTGGTAGGTGTGTGTGTGTGTGTGTGTGTGTGTGTGTGTTAGTGTTAGTGTTAGGTGGGTTGTAAGTATGGTGGAGATGATTGCTTGCTTGATAGACACTAATGGAGGTGGTGGGAGTGGCAGGTAGTGGGCGGTGATGTAAACACTCTCCAGCCTCTTCATGTGTGATGATGCCAGCTGCATCATCGTCTTCCGTTTGTCTCTGTCATCTCCACGCACTCTACCACCTGCCGTGACACATGCTGTATACCTACGTTGTCCCGTGACACATGCTGTATACCTACATTGTCCCGTGACACATGCTGTATACCTACACTGTGCCGTGACAGCTGCTGTTTACATCCACTGTGCCGTCAAACCATAGCTTCATGCGTGCTGTTTGAGTTTTTCAAGACTACGTTTAAGAAAGGCTGTTAGTTTTGGCATTACTGAGCAAGAACCCGTGCAAATTGAATTTGGTTTCACCTAACGCTCCCCCCCCCTCCGACGCGGGGGCCACCTTAACGCGATGTAGGGGTTTGCGCCTAGTAGGACAAACCCTAAACCCGTACCGGTCGGGAAATTGGAGGAAATCGGGTTTGAACTGAAGGGGAGAGTACCTCCAGTTCCTTGGATCAAGAGCACTTCAGCTTCATGGCATTCCCCTTCCATTACTTTAAGGATGTTTTCAGGGGTCAACGCCGCTGCGGCCAGGTGCCAGACCTGGCTTCACAGTCCGACATACAAACCAGGGTGGTCAAGAACTAATTAGAACTTATCAAGTTTACCCTTGGAGACAGCCAGAGGTCTGTTGGTAATCCCCCTCATGTATGAAGGGAGGTTTAAAATTTCTTGGGCTCCAAACATTTATTGTTTTATCTCTTAGTGTACTCGTAGCAACCTTCCTTTCATTATGGGTATTTTGCACCATCTGCCTAGCTTCGTGCTCTCGTAGGGAGTGGTTTGTGTGTACACATTCGGGACTAGTCCCTCTAGGATTTTCCAGTTATAAATTGTGATGCAGCTGTCACGCCTGCATAGAGGTACTGGTCGAGGGACTTAAATGTTCTCAGTAATTTAGGTGTTTAGGTGCAGTGAAGGTTCTCAGTAGAATCTCAAGGACTGCAGTTTCGCCCTCCTTAAAGAGGCTGGTAGTGTACAGCAGTATTCCAACTTAGTAAGAACAGGTGCCTTAGAGGACCATCATTAGCTTCGCACTCCATGATGGAGTTTGAGTGTAATATGAAATGCTTCGCCATAAAGGTTTTTGAGATAGGATGTATTTTTTTTACATCTTCGTTCATCTTAGTAAAATACCTATATACACTACCTTTTACTCTATTTAGTGAAACATGTTCTATAAACGGAGCCTTATTATGTACGTAGTGTCTTTCCACCAGACGTCATTTCGTTGTCCTCTGTTTATAATTTTCTATTTATTAGTTTCCACTAGTAGTATTTAATATTCATTATAATATTTTTAATGTTTTTTTTTCTTCCAAGTATTTTTACCAGGATAGAATTTATACTGTTTATTCTGTCTGTTATATTTTTTCCATTAAATTTAGATGTACATTTTGGGGTGGGGCAATATTCTCTTTGTGTGCACGTATATTGATAAGTGACGATTATGAACAGTTCACAGCTGACTAACAATACCTTGTCTAGAACAGTTGACAGTTAACCCAAAATACCATGGCAGGAACAGTTCGTAACTAACCCATAATACCATGGCTGAAACAGTTCGCAAATAACCTACAGTACTATGGCTAGAACAGTTCACAATTAACCCACAGTATTGTGAATGCTACAATTCGCCAGTAACTCAAAATACCATGATTGTAACAGTTCACGACGAACCCACAATACTGTGGCTGGAGCGATTCACAACCCTTAAGACTGCAACAATTTCAGAACTAACTACAAAACAGTGGTTACAACAGATTGCAACTAACCAACACTTATGTGGCTGGAGAAATTCACAACTAACTCTCAATATGGAGAGAACGTTAGACAACATTTTCCTCTAGAACTGATCGAAATGCGTTTAAAAGTTTCCTTTCCAAACAGGGTATTTTTCACTGGCATCACGAGTTTATTTGTTACCCTGATGAATGGCCATATTGGTTACTTAAAACTTGTAAACAAAACCGCTTGTAGACGTAACGATGGAAGAATGTAAAGCTTTTACTTGTAAATGCAAAGCTGATCTTCAGCCAAATGAATGAAAACAGTATGAAGCCAACTTACAGGTGATTAGTGGTGACGATCCATATGAAATGACTGAAGCTGTTCTGTCTGGCTACCTCCCAGTATAACCTATCAAGATACTGCATTTGTCTATTTTTCCATCGTGTCGGTATTTGATACTATTTATCTCTATATCCAGATATTGTTAACTACTAGATATTTTCACCCAGTCCATACACATACCAAGATTTAAAATTATAAGATTTTTGAAGCGTAAAACCAGTTTCTGTGGATAGGTTGACAGAAATAAAAAAAAAATCTAGTATTCAAAATTCATTTTTTTTTCTTTGTAAGGATTACAATGTGTGGTTTACATATTACAAAATATGAAGTGCAAAGAAAGCTACTAGCATGCCTAGGTATTTCGGGCAGGATCATTAATGATCCTGGCCTGTCATGGCCAAGGAAAGTTTTTTGGTTTTATTATAAATGACAGAAAACTTTATATACATATATGTTATAAAAATTATCACATGTATATGTCTAGGCAACTTTAGTTACAAAAGTGCCTTAATGACGTGTTTCATATATATAAATGAAAAATGCTTCAGAATCTTCATAATTTAAAATAATAGAGGTTTGTATTATTGTAGGTAATTTCCTCAGAGATTAAGTGAAATGCAGTAACAACCGTGGATTGTTGCACAATAAAAATGGGTGTGTGTGTGTAATAGCAGCACATAGTTCCTGTATGCCAGCTTACTAAAGTTGAAGACACTAAAATGTACAGGTCTTACTTGATTCAAAAATGTTCTGAACACATGTTTTCATGATTTTTTCTCTGTTTTGTTGCATCATGACAGTCACACCCGTTTGCTCTGGTAACTTTTCACAAACATTACCTTGGGTTTTTATTACTTTAGGGAGTCTGTAATATTTTAAATCTCTTGATCGGACTTATTATGACAACCATTAACTCCGAAATAGACCTTACTGTTTTTGTGTTGAAAACCAAATTAATTGTAAAAGTATCAAAAATAATATGTAAAAAACTCGCACTTCTAAGAGAATGTGTGTTATCGGATGTAACCAACAAGGTCTACCTACCCAGAAATATATGATGTCACGTCTTAGCTGTGAAGTTATTATTATAATCAAGGGGGAAGCGCTAAACCCAGAGGATTATACAGCGCCTGGGGGGGGATGTGGAAGGCATTCAGGCTTAATTCGGGGAACTGGAGCACAGATCCAATTCCCTAAATCAAGAGCCCCTCACCAACATCAAGGAACCTTCCTTGAGGGGTTAGCTGTGAAGTGACGGCCATGTTGTTATTCTTGCATGGCCATTGTCTTTGGCAGTACTGCCATTTGCTTTCCGTTTAAGTAATTTTAGTGTGTTTTATAAGTAAAAAGATTTTATGCACTGATTCTTATTTATTATAACAAGTATTATTTATTACAATTATGAGCGAAACCTCGATTTCACTGATTAACAAGGGGAGTGGGGTGTTAATGCCGATTGTCAGGTAAGTCCGAATGAGGAATATTTTTCCATTATTACAATACCTGGCAATTCTAGATTTTAAAAAAATTGTCCTTTAAATCGAAAATCAGTTTACCCAGAAGACCATAATAAAGAACAATTCTGGACTTAATGGATTTACCTTGTTAAATCAATTTACTCAGCAGACTTTAACAGTAACTGAAAATTGAACTGATGATAGACTTTGTCTGGCCATAGATACCATTAAATCCGAAATCCATTAAATTTGGGTCATTTAAGTAAAGGTTTTACTCTATTATTATTATTATTATTATTATTATTATTATTATTATTATTATTTATTATTATTATTGCACACTAACCCGATTGCTATTGCGCTCAGTTCACTGAGGTCTGGGGGTCGATCCCCGGCACGGATGAAAACAGGACGTGTTTCCTTAAGATACCTGCTGACCATGTTCACCTATCAGTAAAATAAGTACCTGGGTGTTAGTCGACTGGTAGGGGTCGCATACTGGGACAAAATTGACCAAATTTGCCCGAAATGTTCTACATAACAAGGGGCTTTCTGTGTAGTAGTACGTTATTGATGTCAGCTAGGCCGTATACCTTGTACATGTAGTTGTAGAAATAATAATAATAATTATTTATTATTATTATTATTATTATTATTATGAGGGTTGGTCAGTGCAAGTGTTGGTGGAACTCACCTGTACAGTAATTGCTATGCAGTCATTGACCAGCAGTGATTGCTATGCAGTCATTGACCAGCAGTGATTGCTATGCAGTCATTAACCAGCAGTGATTACTATGCAGTCACTGACCAGCAGTGATTGCTATGCAGTCACTGACCAGCAGTGATTGCTATGCAGTCACTGACTAGTCAGATTATTGGTAACTATGTGCGGTATTATGTTGCAGCGCTGCACGGAGCCAGCAAGAGTCTGTTTGAGACACTGGCGGAGGTGTACGAGCCGGAGTGGGTGGGCCATGAGCTTCTCTACGCCCAGGCACAAAACTCTGACATGCTATGGACAGATTTCTGCCACAAGGTCCAGGACCAGACCCTCGCCCCTCTCACTGCCTACCACCAACAGTTCCCGGAGGTCAGGGTGAGTATGCACCTCTCTCTCTCTATCCTTTCCTCTTGTTTCCCTTCAGTCAATATGGACAACAGTTTCAACTTCAGACACCAAAATTAGCAGTAACCGTATAAACTGCAGTTACTACAGTAACTATAAATTGCCGTCACTACAGTAACAGTATAAGCTGCCGTCACTACAGTAACAGTATAAACTGCAGTCACTACAATAACAGTATAAACTGCGGTCACTACAGTAACAGTATAAACTGCCATCACTACAGTAACAGTATAAACTGCAGTCACTACAGTAACAGTATAAACTGCCATCACTACAGTAACAGTATAAACTGCAGTCACTACAGTAACAGTATAAACTGCCATCACTACAGTAACAGTATAAACTGCAGTCACTACAGTAACAGTATAAACTGCAGTCACTACAGTAACAGTATAAACTGCAGTCACTACAGTAACAGTATAAACTGCCATCACTACAGTAACAGTATAAACTGCCATCACTACAGTAACAGTATAAACTACCGTCACTACAGTAACAGTATAAACTGCCATCACTACAGTAACAGTATAAACTGCCATCACTACAGTAACAGTATAAACTGCCATCACTACAGTAACAGTATAAACTGCCATCACTACAGTAACAGTATAAACTGCCATCACTACAGTAACAGTATAAACTACCGTCACTACTGTAACAGTATAAACTACCGTCACTACAGTAACAGTATAAACTACCGTCACTACTGTAACAGTATAAACTACCGTCACTACAGTAACAGTATAAACTACCGTCACTACAGTAACAGTATAAACTGCCATCACTAAAGTAACAATATAAACTGCCATCACTACAATAACAGTATAAACTGCAGTCACTACAATAACAGTATAAACTGCGGTCACTACAGTAACAGTATAAACTGTGGTCACTACAATAACAGTATAAACTGCAGTCACTACAGTAACAGTATAAACTGCGGTCACTACAGTAACAGTATAAACTGCGGTCACTACAGTAACAGTATAAACTGCCATCACTACAGTAACAGTATAAACTGCCATCACTACAGTAACAGTATAAACTACCGTCACTACAGTAACAGTATAAACTACCGTCACTACAGTAACAGTATAAACTGCTGTCACTACAGTAACAGTATAAACTGCCATCACTAAAGTAACAATATAAACTGCCATCACTACAATAACAGTATAAACTGCAGTCACTACAATAACAGTATAAACTGCGGTCACTACAGTAACAGTATAAACTGCCATCACTACAGTAACAGTATAAACTGCCATCACTACAGTAACAGTATAAACTGCCATCACTACAGTAACAGTATAAACTGCAGTCACTACAGTAACAGTATAAACTGCCGTCACTACAGTAACAGTATAAACTGCAGTCATTAAACAATACTTCTCAGTTATTATACAGCAGTATAAACTGCTATACCTGAAAATTGCCAATTGTTGTCCACCTGTGCTGGAGATGCCGAAGCCAGAGGGCCAATTTTGGCACACCTCCCAGGCACCAAAATTCCTGCCTGTGGTTCAAGACAGTGGCATGCCATGCTTGTAACTAAGGGCAGACATTGCATGTGCCACTAGGGGGAAGGTGGATGGGCCCTTACAGCAGTGTACCACTGGAGACTGTTTGCGTTTATTTCAGGTACTACCGCATTCATCTGAAGGTTATTGTGGGGGGGGGGGACGGGTAGAAGGTATGTAGGATAGGTGTGTTGGGGAAGGGGAGTAAAATGGGAAGGAGGTAGAAGGTATGCAAGAGAAGTGCAAGGGGGCTAGGCAAAATGGGAGGGAGATGGGAAAGATTGAATGGGGGGAAAGAAGAGTGGTGGAGAACTTGTATTTCTTACTGAAAATATTAGGAACACTAGCACTGTGTGGCTATGCTATTCTGTATGATGGCTACATGGTGGGAGAATCTACATTGATAAATATTAAATACAGTGGACCCCCGGATAACGATCAGCTCCCAACTCGACCAATTATGTAAGTTTATTTTTGTAAGTGCTTTTGTAGGTGTATTTTTAGGGGTCTGAAATGGACTAATCTAATTCACAATATTTCTTATGGGAACAAATTCGGTCTATAATGGTACCCAAACAGACTTTTGGATTGAAATAATATCGTTATGCGGGGGTCCACTGTATGTCCTGTATTTCATCCCTTAGCCTGAGTGTACATTGCACTAACCAAATTTGTTTTTATTACCTCTACTTCAGTCACCACATTCTTATTTTTCTCATAATATCTCTTGTTAATATTGGTCACTAAAAGTTTGTTTATTAAATAATTATGCCAAGTGAGTGTAAAACGAAGCCTGTGATTGTTTTACATGATGGTAGGATTGCTGATGTCTTTTGTCTGTCTCATAAATATGCAAGATTACAGGCATGTCTTGCTACTTATACTTACACTTAGGTCACACTACACATACATGTACACATTTATTTATACACACTCATCTGAGTTTTCTTTGATTTTATCTTAATAGTTCTTGGTCTTATTAATTTTCCTTTTATATCCATGGGGAAGTGGAATAAGAATCTTTCCTCCGTAAGCCATGCGTGTTGTAAAAGTCAACTAAAATGCCGGGAACAATGGGCTAGTAACCCTTTTCCTGTAAAGATTACTAAAAAGAATAAGAAGAAGAAAATTGTCAAAGTGGGAAGTCTGAATGTGCGTGGATGTTGTGCAGATGATAAGAAAGAGATGATTGTGGATGTTATGAATGAGAAGAAGCTGGATGTCCTGGCTTTAAGTGAAACAAAGCTGAAGGGGGTGGGAGAGTTTCAGTGGAGAGGAATAAATGGGATTAGGTCAGGGGTTTCAAATAGAGTTAGAGCTAAAGAAGGAGTAGCAATAATGTTGAAGGATAAGCTATGGCAGGAAAAGAGGGACTATAAATGTATTAATTCAAGGATTATGTGGAGTAAAATAAAGATTGGATGTGAAAAGTGGGTTATAATAAGCGTGTATGCACCTGGAGAAGAGAGAAGTGTAGAGGAGAGAGAGAGATTTTGGGAAATGTTGAGTGAATGCGTGGGGAGTTTTGAATCAAGTGTGAGAGTAATGGTGGTTGGGGATTTTAATGCTAAAGTGGGTAAAAATGTTATGGAGGGAGTAGTAGGTAAATTTGGGGTGCCAGGGGTAAATGTAAATGGGGAGCCTTTAATTGAGCTATGTGTAGAAAGAAATTTGGTAATAAGTAATACATATTTTATGAAAAAGAGGATAAATAAATATACAAGGTATGATGTAGCACGTAATGAAAGTAGTTTATTAGATTATGTATTGGTGGATAAAAGGTTGATGGGTAGGCTCCAGGATGTACATGTTTATAGAGGGGCAACTGATATATCGGATCATTATTTAGTTGTAGCTACAGTTAGAGTAAGAGGTAGATGGGAAAAGAGGAAGGTGGCAACAACAAGTAAGAGGGAAGTGAAAGTGTATAAACTAAGGGAGGAGGAAGTTCGGGTGAGATATAAGCGACTATTGGCAGAAAGGTGGGCTAGTGCAAAGATGAGTAGTGGGGGGGTTGAAGAGGATTGGAATAGTTTTTAAAAATGCAGTATTAGAATGTGGGGCAGAAGTTTGTGGTTATAGGAGGGTGGGGGCAGGAGGAAAGAGGAGTGATTGGTGGAATGATGAAGTAAAGGGTGTGATAAAAGAGAAAAAGGTAGCTTATGAGAGGTTTTTACAAAGCAGAAGTGTTATAAGAAGAGCAGAGTATATGGAGAGTAAAAGAAAGGTAAAGAGAGTGGTGAGAGAGTGCAAAAGGAGAGCAGATGATAGAGTGGGAGAGGCACTGTCAAGAAATTTTAATGAAAATAAGAAAAAATTTTGGAGTGAGTTAAACAAGTTAAGAAAGCCTAGGGAAAATATGGATTTGTCAGTTAAAAACAGAGTAGGGGAGTTAGTAGATGGGGAGATGGAGGTATTGGGTAGATGGCGAGAATATTTTGAGGAACTTTTAAATGTTAAGGAAGAAACAGAGGCAGTAATTTCATGCACTGGTCAGGGAGGTATACCATCTTTTAGGAGTGAAGAAGAGCAGAATGTAAGTGTGGGGGAGGTACGTGAGGCATTACGTAAAATGAAAGGGGGTAAAGCAGCTGGAACTGATGGGATCATGACAGAAATGTTAAAAGCAGGGGGGGATATAGTGTTGGAGTGGTTGGTACTTTTGTTTAATAAATGTATGAAAGAGGGGAAGGTACCTAGGGATTGGCAGAGAGCATGTATAGTCCCTTTATATAAAGGGAAAGGGGACAAAAGAGACTGTAAAAATTATAGAGGAATAAGCTTACTGAGTATACCAGGAAAAGTGTACGGTAGGGTTATAATTGAAAGAATTAGAGGTAAGACAGAATGTAGGATTGCGGATGAGCAAGGAGGTTTTAGAGTGGGTAGGGGATGTGTAGATCAGGTGTTTACATTGAAGCATATATGTGAACAGTATTTAGATAAAGATAGGGAAGTTTTTATTGCATTTATGGATTTAGAAAAGGCATATGATAGAGTGGATAGAGGAGCAATGTGGCAGATGTTGCAAGTATATGGAATAGGTGGTAAGTTATTAAATGCTGTAAAGAGTTTTTATGAGGATAGTGAGGCTCAGGTTAGGGTGTGTAGAAGAGAGGGAGACTACTTCCCGGTAAAAGTAGGTCTTAGACAGGGATGTGTAATGTCACCATGGTTGTTTAATATATTTATAGATGGGGTTGTAAAGGAAGTAAATGCTAGGGTGTTTTGGGAGAGGGGTGGGATTAAATTATGGGGAATCAAATTCAAAATGGGAATTGACACAGTTACTTTTTGCTGATGATACTGTGCTTATGGGAGATTCTAAAGAAAAATTGCAAAGGTTAGTGGATGAGTTTGGGAATGTGTGTAAAGGTAGAAAGTTGAAAGTGAACATAGAAAAGAGTAAGGTGATGAGGGTGTCAAATGATTTAGATAAAGAAAAATTGGATATCAAATTGGGGAGGAGGAGTATGGAAGAAGTGAATGTTTTCAGATACTTGGGAGTTGACGTGTCGGCGGATGGATTTATGAAGGATGAGGTTAATCATAGAATTGATGAGGGAAAAAAGGTGAGTGGTGCGTGAGGTATATGTGGAGTCAAAAAAACGTTATCTATGGAGGCAAAGAAGGGAATGTATGAAAGTATAGTAGTACCAACACTCTTATATGGGTGTGAAGCTTGGGTGGTAAATGCAGCAGCGAGGAGACGGTTGGAGGCAGCGGAGATGTCCTGTTTAAGGGCAATGTGTGGTGTAAATATTATGCAGAAAATTCGGAGTGTGGAAATTAGGAGAAGGTGTGGAGTTAATAAAAGTATTAGTCAGAGGGCAGAAGAGGGGTTGTTGAGGTGGTTTGGTCATTTAGAGAGAATGGATCACAGTAGAATGACATGGAAAGCATATAAATCTATAGGGGAAGGAAGGCGGGGTAGGGGTCGTCCTCGAAAGGGTTGGAGAGAGGGGGTAAAGGAGGTTTTGTGGGTAAGGGGCTTGGACTTCCAGCAAGCGTGCGTGAGCGTGTTAGATAGGAGTGAATGGAGACGAATGGTACTTGGGACCTGACGATCTGTTGGAGTGTGAGCAGGGTAATATTTAGTGAAGGGATTCAGGGGAAACCGGTTATTTTCATATAGTCGGATTGAGTCCCGGAAATGGGAAGTACAATGCCTGCACTTTAAAGGAGGGGTTTTGGGATATTGGCAGTTTGGAGGGATATGTTGTGTATCTTTATATGTTTATGCTTCTAGACTGTTGTATTCTGAGCACCTCTGCAAAAACAGTGATAATGTGCGAGTGTGGTGAAAGTGTTGAATGATGATGAAAGTATTTTCTTTTTGGGGATTTTCTTTCTTTTTTGGGTCACCCTGCCTCGGTGGGAGACGGCCGACTTGTTGAAAAAAAAAAAAAAAAAAATTATTGTTCAGGATGGTTTTATACATACTACTTAGGTCAGAATTACTTTTTATAGACCTACCAATTTTTATTTAAAGTAAAAATGTAAAAATTATTTATTTTTATTATTGCCGATATAAACATTTTCCTGGTTATAGAGGTTTCCTTTTAATTTTTGAGGTGTTTGTCTCAGTCTTACAATTTTTAACAGAATTTGGACTTATTTTCTGATTATATTTGAAATACACTAACTAGTCTTTTCATACTTTTTTAATGAAAAGCATATTCAAATATTTGCTGCAATGTTTTAAAAATGGCTCATCATAAAAACTTCTAATAATTTGGTCTTATTTACTTATACAGAGTATAATGTGCTTATACTTCATTAATACTCTATAATGTCTTTATAAGACATTTCCCTGTTGTATGATGAATTTTAGTTTTATTCCCATCTCGGGCATTGAAAGCTGAAAAAAAAATTGTCTGTAAAATATAAAATTAAGTCTGTCATTAACTTTCAAGATACAGTATGGTTTTGCTTTACCCCAGAATCTTTTTATAACTTGCTGCATCTTTTGTGTTTAACAGAAAAAGATAGATAAACGTGGGCGCAAACTTGTAGATTACGATAGTCAGCGCCACCAGCTAGAGAACTTACAGAGGGCGAATCGGCGAGACGAGTACAAGATTGCTCGTGCACGAGATGCTCTTGAAACAGCGCGTGTCACATATGAGGTTCTCAACAAGGTATGCATTATTTCACTGTTTTTTTTTTTTTAACCTAGTGCTTGTGTGAATCTGAATTCTTGTGGGGATTGAAATTCTTGTGTCGATCTGAATACCCCTATGTGATGGTGAGCATTGCAATTTAAAATTTTGTCTTTGATTCATGCCTACCTAGGATCTTTTTCAGACTTCAAACTGGGACTGGTCCCACCTCAACCTATAATAATTCTGTCCCACTTGAATTTTTTTCCATTTCTTCCTATTCTTATACATTGCATTGCACAATACATCACTTTTTGTATTTATCGTTAAATGACCTTAGTTGTCTATAATACTAATTCTTTTCTTAATGTTAACTTTCACTTTATTCTCTACCACTTTATCTGTGAAATTTTTTAAATTTTTTCCTATTCTTATACAATGCATAGTACAGTACATCACTTTTTGTATTTATCATTAGATGACATCAGTTGCTTTTAATGCTAATTCTTTTCGTAATGTTTAGCTTTCGCTTAACTCTCAACCACTTTATCAATTTAGGTAATGTTCATTTCCTGTATTAAATTTTTTTCTCCACTTTTTTCCTCTTTCAATCGACAGGGATAATTTGCTCTTAACTTGCCATGTGATCATATTTTTAGAAGCTTCTTTATCAGCCATTTTAATTTTTTTGTTATTGCTTATTTTTATACAAATGAGATTTAATTAAAGGACTGTAAACTATGTATAGTACGTATTGTGTATATTTTAAAAAATCTCTGAACCCTTTCACTGTTGTCATCCCAAAATTAAAAGTGTTGACAGCATTGCAATTTTTCAACAATAAAAAATATTACATGTATTTTTCTTCTGAAATGGTAGAGAATCTTTTCCTGAAATATGATAGAAAAATTATGGAATTGTGCAGGCACAACGTTAGCAGTCTGGGCACAATTTATGTCCTATTTTAAGGCAATTCAGGTTCTCACTTTGACCAAATTCTTAGCTATTTTGCTAGTATGCCTTGTGTTATTTCGATTGAACGAAAGAAACCACCCATTTAACTGTCAGGACTACCCCATGAAGTGCACAGAAGTCGGCAATTTAGCCACTTTTATACAAAATTCAACAGACCAAAATGAACACTGTATGCATTCCATCCACTAAAGCAACCTATCCTCTGTTCATTAATCATATTCCAAAGCCTCCCTTATAATGCACTTGCCCTCCATTTTGAAACTATCGTTGCATGAAAATCAAAGTTTTTACTCTGTTCTTGGATAAAATATAACCAGGAATGATTGGTCATGGTTTAGGGCATCCTAATTATAATTGAAGCAGACTTAGTAAAAATCCACAAAACAGACCCTATCTCAGGAAAATCGTCACAATTTGAATATTTCCGTCATTTTGAGCACTATTTCAAGCTACTTTCTAGCTCTGAAACCTACCAAAATCATCTTTACTTCACTAGTGTGTTTTCCAGTTTATCAGTTGATACCAAGAACCTGCCAATAAACCATAAAACCATCCTAGAAAACACCTCAAAGTAAAAGTTTTAAACTAAACAAATTCAGGTTTACTTTTTCCCATCAAGCACCAAGTGAGGTAGCAATTTTTATATAGTGCACACTTGCTGCACAGACTCATCCTCTCATGTCAAGGCCAAAATATACTGCTCACAGCATATTTGAGGGTGCTGTGCTTAAAATGTATATCTACATGAGTAACACTGGAGTCAGTAAAGTAGATCTACATAAGAGACAGTGAAAGGGTTAAAATTTCATGGTGTCCAGGCAATCTATGAATTGTGTTAAAATTTCACAAGAACATTTTTTTTTTTTTTTTTCCCAGGAGCTATATGAGGAGTTGCCAGCACTGTATGACCAAAGGATCCCCAACGTTTCTGCCAGCTTACAGACCCTCTTTGCTGCTGAAGCAACTGTCATGGCAGAGTCGAGCAAGGTTACCTTTATTTCCATTTTGTAGAGTGCTGTATAGTGCTAGATGCTGTTTAATGTACATTAGTTGTGAGCTTGGAAGAATTTAATTGGGAATGTGTAAAGTGAACATAGAAAAGAGTAATGTGATGAGGGTATCAAAGAGTTAGGTAAAGAAAAATTGGATATCAGATTGGAGGGAGGGAGTATGGGAAAAGTGTATGTGTTCAGGTATTTGAGAGTAGACTTGTTGGTGGATGGGTTTATGAAAGATGAGATAAATCGTAGAAGTGATGAAGAAAAAAGGTGGGTAGTGCTTTGAGATTTCTATGGAGAACATTATCTATGAAGGCAAAGTAGGCAATGTACGAGAGTATAGTGGTACGAACACTATTATATGAGTGCGAAGCATGGGTTGTGAATGTTGCAACAAGGAGGAGACTGGAGGGAGTGGAGATGTCATTTCTAAGGGCAATGTGTGGCATAAATATTATGCAGAGAATTCATAGTGTGGAAATTAGGAGGGGGGTGTGGAGTTACGATAAGTATTATTCAGAGGGCTGAGGAGGGGCTGTTGAGGTGGTTTGGTCGTTTAGAGAGGATGAAGCATAATAGGATGACTTAGAGGCTGTATAAATCTGTTGTGGAGGGAAGGAGAGATAGGGGTCATCCTAGGAAAGGATGGAGGGAGAAGGGGTAAAAGAGGTTTTGTGTAAAAGGGGCATGTGCGAGTGTGTTAGATATGAGTGAGTGAAGATGAATGGTTTTTGGGACTTGACAAGCTGTTGGAGTGTGATCAGGGTAATCTTTTGTGAGGGGATTCAGGAAATCAGTTAGCTGGACTTGAGTCCTGGAGGTGGGAAGTACAATGCCTGCTCTTTAGAGGAGGGGTTTGGGATATTTGCTGTTTAGAGTGACATCTAAACTGTCGTATCTGCATGTACGTTTGTAGTATTTTAGCCATTGATCTTGCATAGAAAATATTTTTTTGTAATAACCTGCATTTCATTTAATCAAAAGCAATAATTTAGCTGTAGCAATGTCTTACCTTCCTTGTATCAAGCCTGATTACCTTCCATTTACCCAGGTGTTGTATGACCTCCAAGTACAGTGAGCAGTGGTTGAAGGGAAGATTTTCCAATGAGTACCCTATAATAGCAAAGATCTAATATGAAAATTGTTACTCATCACTTTACTTACAATTTTTTTTATGCTCACAGAAATATTTGACAGGATTATTATTTGCTTTAGGTTGCTAAGGAGCTCGAAGCTATTGCAGACAAATTATCAAAGGAGTGTGCCAAAGGAACATACAAAGTGAAGCGTGGAGTTGCCCCCCGCCCACTCTCTGTTGTGGAATCTTCCCCGAAAACCATCAACTCTCCGTCCATGTGAGTAGTGGTGTAACTGATAAGTAGGAAGAGGGCATTTCTTAGTGTGCGTATGTGTGTTAGTGCTTGTGTGTGAGATAATACTGATTTCTGTAGTTTTGTATGAAATTTGAACAAGGCAGGCATTGTTGTTCTATCAGGCATATACTGCAATTGCTCACTTGCCCCATGTGTAATAACCATGAGTGTGCTTTAATAAATTGTTACTGTATCTCTTTAAAATTATGTTTAGAGAATTTAAACTCACTGAAAAGTAGTATTTTAGGATGAAAGTTGTGTGTGTGTGATTGTTTTTGATGTTGAGTTGGTTAATGAAACAATTCCTAATAGGTGCTTTGCACATTGATTGACATTATGAATAGACTAGCAGTTTTGTTCTTTGAATGTTGAGTAAATCATTGAACTGGAACCACTTGTAAATGCTAACATAAAGTTTTTGTATTGGCCGAGAATATTTTTATCACAAAAAAATTAAATAGAAATTTCATAAAATTATTGGGAAAATATATTGCTTAATAAGTTATAGCAACAACATCAGTCTCTTATGATACACTTAATGGAGTCCTGAGAATTTAAGTAGATGATTAATATTAGTATAGACACAGTTGGCAAAACAGTCCCTATGAAACCTTGTTCTGCATTACTATTACCTGTCAATATTATGCCTGTACATCCATGATTAATATTCATCAAAAAATGTGACATTGACACTATAAAATACATAGTGCATTATTGACCATTATTTTTCATCACATATTAATCTTTGGGACAGGTCATTTTATTCTACTTTTAATGTAAAGGATGGCATACCTTCATAACTGCACTATTCAGTTGAGAGACTGATCTGTATTAATTAAATTGTATTGCTTTATTTCAAGATTTGAATATAGGCCTAAAAATTCTACAATTAGTTCCTGGTGCATTGATATCAACAAATTCTAAGCATGTCTACATTCCCATAAGTTAGCTGAATCTTGGTGTTAACTGTCATATTGTTTTTCAATTGACTAAATCGCATGTTTTTTTCCCAGTTTCCAGGGTATCACTTTTCTGCACCACAACTCATTATTACTTAACTTTATGCCTGTACTGATAATTAAAATTTTCCTCTAGCATTCATTATTTCAAAATACAGTACAATAAAAAGCTAATAAACCCCATAAGTGAAAATATTAAATGTCAAATTTATGTGGAAATGTTTAGAGTACTTTCCCAAGTATTTTAAGATGATTATTATTTTCTACCTGGATCAAAATTTTTTTCTAACTATTAAATGCAGAAAAGTTGTATGATGTGTATTATCAAAAGGTAAATGTGTCAGGGCCAGTCTTAATTTGCAATTTAAACTCCAAGTGTCTCTCAGTGGAAAGAACAAATAAAGGCCAAACAAATCAATTTATATTTTTATAAACATTTGGAAGAGCTCAAGATGTGTTTACTAGAATGTGCTGTGTATTGTTTGTGAAAGTCTGTCTGCTATGCTTTAGATTTTCATTAAATTTTTACAAACCTCTTATTCAAGTAGGATTTTTTTATATAATGTATATTTTTTTTTTTTTACTGGACATTACTTTTGTAATGTTTAAAGGTAGAAAGTTGAAAGTGAACATAGATAAAAGCAGGGTGATGAGGGTATCAAATGATTTAGATAAAGAAAAATTGGATATCACATTGGAGAGAGGGAGTATGGAAGAAGTGAATGTTTTCAGATATTTTAGAGCTGACATGTCAGCAGATGGGTTTATGAAGGATGAGGTTAACCATAGAATTGATGAAGAAAAAAAGGTGAGTGGTGCGTTTAGGTATATGTGGAGACAAAAAACGTTATCTCTGGAGACAAAGAAGGGAATGTATGAAAGTATAGTGGTACCAACTCTCTTATATGGATGTGAAGCTTGAGTTGTAAATGCTGCAGTGAGGAGGTGGTTGGAGGCAGTGGAGATGTCCTGCCTAAGGACAATGTGTGGTGTAAATATTATGCAGAAAATTCAGAGTGTGGAAATTAGGAGAAGGTGTGGAGTTGCTAAAAGTATTAGTCAGAGGGCTGAACAAGGGTTGTTGAGGTGGTTTGGTCATTTAGAGAGAATGATCAAAGTAGAATGACATGGAGAGCATATAATTTTGTAGGGAAAGGAAGGTGGGGTATGGGTTGTCCTCAAAAAGGTTGGAGGGACGGGGTAAAGGAGGTTTCGTGGGCGAGGGGCTTGGACTTCCAGCAAGCAACGAATGGTTTTTGGGACCTGACAAGCTGTTGGTGTGTGAGCAGGGTAATATTTAGTGAAAGGAATTCAGGGAAACCAGTTATTTTTATATAGCCGGACTTGAGTACTAGAAATGGGAAGTACAATGCCTGCACTTTAAAGGAGGGGTTTGGGATATTGGCAGTTTGGAAAGATATGTTATATATCTTTATATATGCTTCTAAACTGTTGTATCTGGATGCCTCTGCAAAAACAGTGATTATGTATGAGTGAGGTGACATTGTTGAATGATGATGAAACTATATTCTTTTTGGGGATTTTTTTTTTTTTTTAGGGGGGGGTCACCTTGCCTCGGTGTGAGACTGCTGACTTGTTGAAAAAAAAAAATTTGTTTTGTCTCGCCTGTTTGTTATGAAATTTATTGTTCCTTGCTTCCAAATATCTTATAATTGAATGTAAAGAGACATTTTTATCATTTTTTACACACACACATGCTCAGAAAACAAAGTTTCCTGTTGAAATCTGACAATATTAAACTCTATTGGCTGTTTGGGAAACATTTGTTATATAACTTGGGTAAGGAAACCTTGTTTCTTATATACTGAAAGAGAGGAGGACCAGGGGAGTATATGATCATGATACATAAGCACTCGGGTGATTAGACAGGGTTGATAGGGACAGACTGAGATGGGAGGAGAGGGAACCGTGGAGGACAGATGGGAGTTAAAAATGAACCCTGTTTTTTAGTCTCAGTGGTGAACAAATGAAATACACCAGATGCCATGGTGGAAGCAAACGCAGCTCAGTTTTAAGAGTAGATATGATTGAACCTTAGACGCAGGAAATCAGTAAATCCTGTCAGTAAAAGCTGCTGTAACATGGGGATTAAGAGCTGTAGCTTTATCCCTGTAAGCACACACAGACAAGTTTGTTTCCTCAGTAACTTTGTCACATTTGGAGAAGTTTGTAGATAGTGATAACCTATTTGCATAGTGTAGTTACCAGTAATAACCCATTAGTGTAGTGTAGGTGACTGATGACCCATGAGTATAGTGTAGGTGACAGTGATGGCTCTAGACCTGTTTGGTATAAGGGGACAATGACAATAATTATTAGGACTGTTTTGTTGGGCCAATGTTAAGAAGTAATTATGTTTATATGACCAGTATCTGAATTGGTACAAGAAACCTTTGCTTTGTTTGTCTTGAGAATTGAGGGTGATGTATTAAGACCAGTTGTAATGAACAGCTGCTCTCTTAGATAAGTAGTACAGTTTTTAAGGTTGTTCCATCTCTGCCAGTATTCTTTTAACACATTGGTCATTTCTCACATAGGCAGGGTGACCCAAAAGGAAATACATTCACCATTGTTCACTCAGCAGCTGTCTTGCTAGAGGTGCATAGACATAAAAATTCTAATGATCTTGTGAACTGCAACATCCTCACCCTCCTTGCTAATTCTCTTGTTGGCTGTTTTGCTCTCTTGTCACTAGTTTGATTCTCTCTCTCTCTATCTCTCTCTATCTCTATCTCTCGCTCTCGCTCAAAAGTCAACTGACAAGGAAATCAGGCTTCTTTTTTTCGTTTCCTCTGGTGATTCCAATATTTGTCCAGCCTTTTTTTGGTCTATGGTTTCCCAAATCTGCTAAATAGAGGTTCATTAGAAGTTTTATTGTACCTTAAAAAGTGTGTGCAGTATGCTACTGCATATCAGGAAAGGAGCTGGGGGATATTTTTCTCAATATCCATAATATGATCAAACCACATCTAGTTTTTCTAGGTTTTTTACCTATATTATTATTATTTTTTATTATCACACTGGCCGATTCCCACCAAGGCAGGGTGGCCCGAAAAAGAAAAACTTTCACCATCATTCACTCCATCACTGTCTTGCCAGAAGGGTGCTTTACACTACAGTTTTTAAACTGCAACATTAACACCCCTCCTTCAGAGTGCAGGCACTGTACTTCCCATCTCCAGGACTCAAGTCCGGCCTGCCGGTTTCCCTGAACCCCTTCATAAATGTTACTTTGCTCACACTCCAACATCACGTCAAGTATTAAAAACCATTTGTCTCCATTCACTCCTATCAAACACGCTCACGCATTCCTGCTGGAAGTCCAAGCCCCTCGCACACAAAACCTCCTTTACCCCCTCCCTCCAACCTTTCCTAGGCCGACCCCTACCCCGCCTTCCTTCCACTACAGACTGATGCACTCTTGAAGTCACTCTGTTTCGCTCCATTCTTTCTACATGTCCGAACCACCTCAACAACCCTTCCTCAGCCCTCTGGACAACAGTTTTGGTAATCCCGCACCTCCTCCTAACTTCCAAACTACGAATTCTCTGCATTATATTCACACCACACATTGCCCTCAGACATGACATCTCCACTGCCTCCAGCCTTCTCCTTGCTGCAACATTCATCACCCATGCTTCACACCCATATAAGAGCGTTGGTAAAACTATACTCTCATACATTCCCCTCTTCGCCTCCAAGGACAAAGTTCTTTGTCTCCACAGACTCCTAAGTGCACCACTCACCCTTTTCCCCTCATCAATTCTATGATTCACCTCATCTTTCATAGACCCATCCGCTGACACGTCCACTCCCAAATATCTGAATACATTCACCTCCTCCATACTCTCTCCCTCCAATCTGATATCCAATCTTTCATCACCTAATCTTTTTGTTATCCTCATAACCTTACTCTTTCCTGTATTCACTTTTAATTTTCTTCTTTTGCACACCCTACCAAATTCATCCACCAATCTCTGCAACTTCTCTTCAGAATCTCCC